TATACGTGACACAGAGAGAGAGAATCCGAGGTAGCTCAGGATGAAATGCAGCGCTTCGGGGCTGTCAGGTGCAACAGGGGTTTCATGGGGAAGGTAGAGGTCAGAGGCACCAAAACAGGTTTCCGTGTCGGTGGGGGTCCGATCACCACGCAGACGCGTTTCTCTTTATGCAAACTGAGCATCTTCCTGGTCTGCCCGTAGTGGCAGAGGACCCCTGTGCTGTGGGCGCAGAGGTGGGTGGTGCGGGGTGGGCAGCTGGTGCCCTGGACCCCTCTCGCCTTGTCCCCGCTGGACCTGCCTCCTTGTGCGGTGGCAGCGGCTGGGAAGGGGCATTTGGAGAGCAGGGTTTCGCTTCTGGGGGGGTGATTTACACGTCTTCAGCAGGGGGCTGGGGAAACTCTCCTTCTGCAGAAAAATCCTTGGCTGCTGTCTGTATAAGGGAGAAGTGAGCCTGCCCCTGCCCTTCCCAGGGCTGCCGGCCCCTCCACTTCCACAGGTCCCAGCCGCACTGTGCATCCATGTCCGGAGCAGTGGAGGGGTGGCTTAGGCCAACGGCCTGCCCTGGGGGCACCTCCCTGCGGGGATAATATTAATAAGGATTGATTAACTGCCAAATTCAATGCGGTACATCCTGACGTTGATGAGACAAGCGTCTTGGACGCAGCAGAAGAGTTACTTTTTAAAAGAAAGAAAAACGCACTTTGTAGAATGAGGGTGCAACTGTGAATTTTTTTCCAGCATCGTGTTCTTTATCTCTGCTAACTACAGGTGTACATCTCCATCATGAAATGCTGAGTATTCAAGAATTAATTTCCACGTATTTTTTTTAAAACAGCTTCCCATCCCCGATGAATACATAGATAGTGCAGATAATCCTGGAATACATACAAACTAGCATAACCAGAAAAACCTGACGTTTGTACTGAAAATCTGTTACTGTATGTAAAAATGAAAATGCAAAGGTAAGAGAAGACGAGGTCTAGCCTTCTTCCAGCTATTGAAGTTTTCAAAATGCCATAAAAGACTAATGTTGAGATGATTCAGGCATCATCTGTCCAGGTTTTCGTGCCGTGTCCATCAGCCTAGCACACGTGTGCCTCCAGAGAGACCTGCGCTGGAAGGTCTGCAGAACGATTTTGATCCTTACTCTGATTTTGATCCCTGCCTCTGGGAGCAGCCTTCTCTGCACTGGTATTTATTTATCTTCCAGAAGCCTTTTTAACCTTAATAGGCAAAAAAACCACAGGACTGGGGCTTCTCATGGTTTTTCCCTTTGGCTGAATTATCTCAAGCGGGCTGTACTTCACACATGAGTGTGCACGCGTGCTCGGGTACCTGTGTGTGCCTGAGACGGTGATTGCAAAGGGGAAGTTACAGCAGAGATTTACACATCAACAGCAGAGCCCGCTTATACCTCCCATGCACATTTTAGGATTTGATCTTTGTTGGGGTTTTTTTTCCACTCCGGTCTGCTGAGTGCTGCAGTAGGGGACTGTTTAAAGAGATGGAAATAAATAAAATATTAATAGGACTTCAAAGTGAGTTTGATTCTCTAAAGATAAGTATTATTTATAATCTACACTCCCAGGCTGGGGGGAATGATTCATATCTTCGCTCCTCCTCGGGGCAGAGCTGTTGTTTGTATAACAGACAAACCGGCGGCACTGCTGGCTGCGGAGGGAGGGGGAAGCAGAAAATGCAGCATCCTCTGTGTCCCCAGCGGTGCCGGGAGCTGCCCACGCCCCGAGCTCGCAGGCGTTGCTGCTTTCCGTCCCTAACACCTTGTGTAGGATGGGCTTTATTTCAGTGAGGCGCATCCCTGCGTCCCCTGGCAGATGGTGGGTTTCAGCCGCGTTTGGCAGTGTGGTGGTGCTCTTGAAGGTACTGGGCTCCTGGTGAAAGCAGCTGATGATCTTTGAAGAAGAAAAGTACATGGCCAGCCTGTTTTAGGGGACATCTGAGGCCTGAAGTTTGCTGTAAAAGCGGTCGTTTGGGTACCCACACGGGACAGAGCATCCCGGGGGTGGGGGAGACGCGGTGGCCTGGCGAAAATCACAGCGCTGCCAGAAACCAGCCCCTGTAGTCCTCTGCTTGTGGGACTGCTTGGTGTGGGTTAGTTTTGCTTACGGATAACGTGTGTGCGCACGTACACACACACACAAAGGTGTTTGCCCGGTGGAGTTGGAGTTGAAGTCTTTCTGTGTCTCAGAAAATACACTGTCTGTGGATAACAAAGTGATGGGGCTGCCTGAATCTTCCTGCAAGCGATTGAAACTGGAGAAATAAATTATCCAGGAAAACACACTATGGAAAGGCTGTTGCAAGGTGGTGGTTTGAGTAGCCGTAGAGTTACAAAGCGTCGGTGTTTCGGAGCAGCCCCAGCTCGGGATGCCTGCCTCCCACGAGGAGAGAGGGGAAAATGGGCTTCAAGTCAGCCACAGTGGATAAGAAATGGTCTGTCCTCGTGCAGGGATGGCCGTAGGCTGGGCTTGCTCACTAAGCAAGCCCGGAAATTGCCGGTTGGCAGGGAAAAAAGCTGCGAATCTCAAGAAGCAGGATTGATCACATTGTGGGCTGTAAAAGAGAAGAAAAGAATCGAGAGCTTTTATCATTCAGTTGTGAGACGTAACATGGGCGGTTACCTGCCAGATCTCTTGAGAACCTGAAGGAGAAGAAATGTGAGGAATTTTTTTTTTATTGGAACCAATTTTAAAAATACAAATCTTTATATCAGTATGTGAGCGGTAAAGTGGTGGTGACTTCATGGCATCTTTTTTTTGCATCTGAACTCAACGCTTCAGTTTAAAAATCCTCCAAATTAGTAGCTTTCAGTTATTACCACGTCTGCTTCTTGACATGGTAAAACAAGAGGTAGTCTTCAAGAAGTCAGGCCAAATAATCAGGATAGCTGGGTTGTCCCTCTTCAAGCTGGACCACCCAGCTGGAGGCATCTCGTGTAGCCCTGTGACGGAGGTGGTCCAGAGGAGGAGGTGGGTGGCTCCGGGGCAGGAGCAGGACGGGATGCTTGCCATCTCCGGGTCTGTCTGTCTGCACAGGTCATGGACGGAGCCCAGGGAGGCTCACAGGAAAAGGGAGGGACCCAGAGCGAGATGTGGTGTCTGTCAAAGTGCCTTTACAGCTTCCAGCCGCTCTCAGGAGCTCTGCTCGAAGGGTGGTGATTGTTTGCCAGCCAGAAGTGGTATCCTATGTTTCTTTGTCGATTGTCTTCATCGACCTCAAAACTAAATGGTTTTTGTCTTTTGTAGAATCGCAGAAAAATGTAGATCGGAGGGGACTTGTGGAGGTGGCCGGGGTGAAACCCCTGCTCACGGCGGGGCCAGCTTCAGACTCAGGTCCAGCTCCCAAGCTGGGTCGGTTGCCCAGGGTCATATCCAGCTGAGCTGGGTATCGCTGGGGATGGAGGACAGCCCGTGTTTCACTAGGTATTTTCTTTCATATGTGTTGGGGAAAAATTTTCTCCTCAGAAGGATGTCATCGGGATTTTACTGCGTTTTCTCCATTGAGGTTTCAGGAAGCAGGGCTGCCGAGCTCCAAGCGCCCCGTAACAACTCATCCTCTCTTAAAACAAAATAGTTCTGGTTCCAGTCTTTTCTTAGTATCTCATGTTTTAAAAATTAAAACGTCTCAACGAGGAGAGAGTTTTTGTCTCCGCTGTTTTACACTTGCTCTCGGTTATTTGCGTTTCGTCTAGTAGCAGAAGATTTTCTCAAGTTCCCCTTGGCAGGATTCCCTTTTATCTCCCTTACTGCGGTCTCGACTCGCTGTTAACAATTATCCTATATTATCTTGTAAGTCTGATTAGAAACATCCCTCCATCTTTTTATCTGGCCGAGTACTTACTTTTTTGAGAATTAGGAGCGATTTACAGTTCCGTGACGGGTTTATCGCCCCTTTCACTCGAGCGTTAGGGGATGCACACACCTGAGGAGGGGGAGTGCGGAGTTTTCCGTGCGGACAGGCTGTCTGTCTGTCCCTACAGACGTGCGTCGGTACCTCTCCGGCTCGGAGCGCAGCCAGCCGGAGCTGCCATGCAGGACTGGGGAGGCAGCGCTGGTGGTACCACTCCGGGTGCTTTTGTATCAAAGTCTCCTGCAACTCCCGACAGTTTTGCTCTTCAGATGCTTAACTCCTCTCGGCGGTCTCCTTTATTTAATGAAGGAGCAACCCTGCTCCGCAGAGTGTGTCTGTGAGCCACGTAGAGGGGAGGAACGGATGCGTTTCCATCGCACCCGCACTGTCAGCTCCGATGATGGCATTACTGGAGTGTTTAATAAAACCTTTATTGGTATATTACCCGGAGTCACGGCGTTGGCAGGGATGGTGCCCCTTTGGGTTTGGGACTCAGTGGTTAATGAAATACAGCGAGCGCTAATTTGGACGGGGCTTCTCGTTTTGGAAAGGCAGGTGACACGTTATTGTGTTTGGGGGGAGCAGGGGCCGCGCCGCTCGCTGCCGCAGCTCCCGCTGTCAGAGGCTTAGCTGGCATTACGGGGAAAAAAATGGCAGGCCTGCGAATCTGATCCCCCGAAATGAAAGTCGAATGCCAAATTGAAATTCCTGCAGGATTTCCGATAGCAATGGGGGAATTGAGAAGCCCACAATTAAGCATATGGGCATTAAGATAATTGTCAGATCTGTTGGCGGACATGATAGAAGACAGATGGGTAGGAATCAGTGCGCTCGGCTGCAGCACCCTGGGAGACAATTTGACGTTTTACCTGCCTGAGCTGCTCTGCCGTGTTTGTCACGAGGCATGCGGCGCCGCATCCTCCCGGGCGGCCTGCGCGGTGTGCGTGGCGTGCGCGGTGTGCGCGGCTGCGTGCGGTGCGGCTGTACGGGCCCTCTGCGCCCTCTAGTGAAACACAGCCCGGTGCCATGGCTCACCGTCCCCATCCCTCTCCTGGGGTCCCCAGGACTTGGGGCTCGGCCGGCTGCCCGGCACCGCACGGCCTCACCGCTGCCTCTCTCCTCCCCGGCAGGTCGGAGCGCACCGCGAGGATGGGGTCAGCCTCCGCGGGAGCCACTCGCTCGTGCCAAACCAGGTCCCGGTCCCCCAGCTGCCCGTCCAGTCCGCCACGTCCCCGGATTTGAACCCGCCCCAGGACCCGTACAGGGGTGAGTACCACCTGCCTGGGAAGCCCGTCCCGGGACGCAGCATCCCCAAAGACGCGTCTGGGACGGCGGTGACCCGGGCTGGAGGGATGAGGTGTCTGCGCTTCTGGTCACAGGGATGGTGGAGACTGTAACACAGCACAGGGCGCAGCCGAGACTGCAGGGCAGAGCCTGTTCGCTAGTTCAGCTCTGCTCTCTGAAATACTCCAGTTACTACAACTAGAACCGTGCAAGCAGCTTGCCTCTGGACAGTGAGTCTTGATACCAGGACTGCTTTAAGCAGCAAAATTAAGAGTGTAGAAGACACTGCAAAAGGCACATCAAAAAGGTGTGAGTTTAAGGTGAGACTCAGACCCGCAGATTTTCCGCCACCTTTACAATTCTGCCCGCGGGCAGGACGGCACCAGGGTGCCTCTCCTTGGCTCGCAGGATGTGCTGCGCTGTCCCAAGCCTCACAGACTCCTCTGCAGGGTTGTTGCAAAGCAGGCCTGGAGCTAACCGAACCCAGAGGACATCGGGGGGTGGTTGTTATTCCTAGAGGCAGCTGATCTTCCCCTTAAAGCGAGGAAGAGTGAGCCCAAACTATTATGATGGCTTACGAGGTCTTGCTCGTTCATTGCAGCCAAGGTATTTTGATTATTTTATGAGAATGACATATTAAAGATATTTTTTTTTTAAGATGAAGGAAAAGTTACGTAGCGATTGAAGAACAGGAGTAGCAGCTAGGCGTCCTGTGCCGCCTTCCACAGAGCAGAGCTAGACCTCAAAGCCCTGGCTGAAACCCGTTTCCAGGAGCTGCCGCCCCCGCGCCTGGCTCTGCAGCAGGCAGCTGGGGCTGCGCTGCGGGTCACCCTTCGTCGGGGACAGGGGACACGCACCCAGACCGTTCAGGCGTTGGCTTAAGCACTGCTTGACAGCTCGTCCGTGTGTTTTCTCGCAGGCATGCCAACCGGACTGCAAGGGCAGAGCGTCTCTTCGGGTAGCTCCGAAATCAAATCTGATGACGAGGGAGATGAAAACCTCCAGGACACAAAGTCTTCTGAGGACAAGAAACTAGAGGATGACAAGAAGGATATCAAATCAATTACTAGGTCAAGATCTAGGTAACAGTATATAATAGTGTCGCTTCATTTAATTCCTTTACTGGATTTCGATGAAGTGAACAGAACAGGAGGAAACTATGAGGTTTTTTCCTGGCAGGTAAAACCACAGCCTAAGTGGAACGGGATGGCTCTTCTGGCAGTACCGAGTACCTTTCTGGTACCTGTACTCCAGGACGTCCTCAAATTCGAACAATTCACAAATTTGGACACTGAGCAAGTTCTCCACAATCTATAAAGAAATTGCGTTACGCTAAAATGTATGAATTAGGCTGTTATTCCTTTCTGCCTGTGCTTGCAAATTGGAATACAGTATGAATTTTCATCTCTCTAAAAACGTGCCTAAGAGCTGATCGCACCTGCATCTGAACTAACAAACCGTATGCTTTTCTTTTACCTCTGAAATTGATTTGTCGTTCCCAGTCCTCAATTTCTGTAGATCTCTAGAGCTCCCTAAGTTAAGCGGAGGGTTTAGAGGTCTTTACTCGTTCGCCATATTCTTTATCAATATTTGGAAAGTATTAGTGAAGGCATAGCTGGGTCGTATCATCTGGGAACTCATGCCCGTGGTAAATGTGAACAATGTCTACGGGTGCTGCAACCGTGAACCTGAGCAAGGGACAGGCTTCACTCCTGTCCCTGGAATTTCACCTGCCTCGCCTGCATGTCCGCACAGGGCCCGAGGCAGTGCTCAGGACTGCAGATACTCGTCATCGCAGCAGAAAATCCCAATAAAGCTGAAACCCAGGCACAACCCTGCTTTGCTCAGGGGATTTTTTTGACGATGAATGGCAGTGTCCTTCTGCCTTTTCTCCTTCCATGCCTGGTTCTCTGTATAAAAAACGAGCCGAGATGAGAAGCATCTGAGCAGACGTGCTGCCCCCAAGAGAGCGCCGAGACTCGGACCTCTCAGGCCAGCGCTCGCTGATGTTTGAAACGTTAATTACATTCACGTCTCTTATGACGGGAGAAAATATATGACACTCGAGATTTCCTCTGAATAAATGTGTTGAAGTAACCATATGTATAAGTGAGGCTTTCATGTGCGTGTACGATATGGTAAGAAGAAAGCACCTTTATGCTGATGTGAGGTGATGGTAGTTCTTGTTAATTCAACAAATATGCTGTCGCTTATGCATATTTATATGTGCTTTGAAGCTTTTGTAGGCTAACATTTTTGCTTCTAACATGCTTGCAGCTTTAAAAGGTTACTCCTGATATTTAGTTATATGTCTAAGTCCATGTTGTTAGGGCTGCTGAAAATTTATTACTCCATTTGCATAACCAATTCAAATTATATAGTGCCAGTGACTCACCAGTGGATGTGTTTTCAATTTAAAATCATCATTTTGTCTGGATAGAAAGCAGTTTTGTTGCGGAAAGGATGCAGAAGTTCACCATAGGGCTCGTCACAGCCATAAATTACCTCTGCGGCTCTTTGCCCACGGGCGTTTCGGTGCCCCGTGCCCCATGCAGGGACTGGGGTGCTGCCCACACCCACCGCCCGTGGCTTGCCACTGCTCGGGAGGATGGCGCATCCTCACCCTCACCCTCAGCAGTGGAGAAAGTTTCTTCCGAAACCCGAATGATGGTCTGCTGGAAGGGAAGCGTGTAAATGCACGGCTGTCGTCCTGGCTTGGAAGCTGCTGCTGAGGGGCCGGAGCCCGTGGGACTTGGGTGCTAGCACCGGCGTGAGACGGGGCAGGTCCCCTCGCTGGTCGGGGACAAGCTCCTCGCTCCCGGGGCGAACCCCACAGGCAGCAAAGATGGGAGCAGTGCAGATAGCCACCACTGTGTCCTTCGGGGTTAAAGGGTGACGCTAAGTGGGGATTTGCCACAATTTATTATGTTGCAGTATTGGCTGTGATAAAATACGCTATTGAAAAAAGGCTGTAATTTTTGCTTCTTTATTAAAATATCAGAAGTCCTGCCTTGCGGAATGTAAAGCTTCATTACAAACCAGGGCTGTACTCAGTGTAGAATTTAAGGGGACTGAATTTTGCGCAGGTTTGGTGGAAGAGGGACGGCAAATAAGGATCGCTCAGAAGGTGTCTGCTCATGGATTGTAGCCCTAGTTTTGGACAAAGTCTGTTGAAAATCTTTGCACTACTTATTTTCCGCATCATTAGAAAATTATGTATTCCTTTTGTCTCCCAGCAATAATGATGACGAAGACCTGACACCGGAGCAGAAGGCCGAGAGGGAAAAGGAAAGGAGAATGGCCAACAACGCGCGGGAGCGCCTGCGCGTCCGCGACATCAACGAGGCTTTCAAGGAGTTGGGCCGGATGGTGCAGCTCCATCTGAAGAGCGACAAGCCCCAGACCAAGCTCCTGATTTTACACCAGGCTGTGGCTGTCATCCTCAGCTTAGAGCAGCAAGTCAGAGGTCAGTGTGCCACCTCTCGTGTCTCCTTACCTCCCTCCTGGGCTTCGGCCACGCCAAACACACCTTTCTGGACTGGGGAAAGCCTGGCCAGGGGCACCCGGTGCCAGGGAGAGAGGCAAAACCTAACCCCTGGCACCCAGCGCCAGCCAGGCACCTCTGAGAGCCCGGGGTGCTCGTGTTCCCCTGCGGCTCCGGCACTGGGGATGCTGGCATGGGTCCTCGGCAGCCTCGGCACGTTTTGCGTTCTTTAGCAAGATCCAAATTCAATATTAAGCTTGGCTGCTCCTTAGCAAAGCACAAGCACGGAGGTATTTGCAGAGCTTGTCTGTGGAGTGGTGCTGCATTTCAGCGCTTGACCTGACCAAGCTGCATCCTCTGCTTCAGCCCGCTAAATTCCTGTAGCAGGACTGGAACGAGGGACTGACGATTAATTATTTTAAATGCCCGTGCGATGAACGGACCGATCTGGTATAAAGATGTGAATATGTGAAATCGCCTTTTGCTTCAATTCAACAGAAAGAAATCTGAATCCTAAAGCAGCGTGTCTGAAAAGAAGGGAAGAAGAGAAAGTATCTTCAGATCCTCCTCCCCTTTCCCTGGCAGGACCCCACCCCGGGATGGGAGATGCCTCCAATCACATGGGACAGATGTAAAAAAAAAAAGGCAAGTTTGTTTTCGGCCGTGCCCTGGGAGCCTTCTGCCCCGCACCCAGAGGGGTTGCCCCCAGTCCGGCCCCCCGTCCCAGGGCAGGC